CCCCAAAACCCCAAAACCCCAAAACCCCAAAACCCCAAGGGCTAAAAGTCTGAGTGAAATTATTATAGTTTTAATAATAATACTGAAAATTATTGCATTATTGAAATAAAATGAAAAATTTTTCGAATATTAAAATTACTACAACCAGTCATTCTACCTCGAATAAACCTAATTTTTTCTCCTCTGGTTCACCTACAGCAAGGAACACCTTCCTAAATCATAGACAATCTGTTTTATCAGAAGAAGATACGGCTGATGATCAGGTCCCAAAGGTAGTATAAGGGGCGGCGTCTTCATCAAAGAAAGGTATATTTCAGCTGTCACGAAAAAAGGATAAAGAAATATCATAGTTGCTAGACAATATATCACTATTTAAAAGCACTGATGACATTACTCATTTGAAATATTGAATACTGGATAAGATTAAGGCTTATGAGCGAGCGTATCCGAGCAAGAAAGAAGAGTTCAACAATCTGATTCATCAATTGCAATATACACCACCTGCCTAATAATCTCAAAAACTATCCAATAACTATATTTCAGCTTCCCAATCTTAAAACAAATCTTAAATACGAGGATACAGCAAAAAAGAACAAAACTTTAACTAGAAGACTAGAAGCAACATTTTGGAGATGCTCAGTAGGCATGACCTAGACCGAGTCAGAAAGCCCAAACTAGCTAAGATATAGAAGGCTAGCTCACCAAAGTAAAACCTGTTCAATGTAAAACAACTTACTCTCGGGGATAAGCATTCTTTGTACAGCGGGGCTACTTCACAGTTTAATTCAACTTTAAATTGCCCAAATGGAGTTGTGTTCAATGTTAATAATGTTAATATGATCAAATATACGCATAGAGAGTCCTAGGCAGGCTCATAGATTTCAACTCCTTCTCATAACAAATAAATATTGCCAAGTTTATAAGCGATTTCAAATACTAGCTCGCTAAATGGTATCAGACAGAGTTTCAAAAATCCGTCTGCAATGTATGGATACATTAATAATAGAGAGTAGCAAAAATCAAGATAGACTGCAGTTGATCAGCTTAATATGATCCTTAATCAATCTATCCATGTATTCAGTAACAGCACCCAGGTTTCTCCTTCTAATCTTCCTCTAAAACCTCAACCAATATTTACGAAGTATAAGCAAGACAGAAATTTTCTTATCCCAAGTGCCTCTTCAACATAGCATGAATATGAATCTGACAATAATGATAATCATCACTATCTGTCATCTAGACTTCCCTAATCTAAATTGGAAAATCTCAAAACTCCTCCATCTCGAATGAGAAGGAATCAAATGATGTAGACTCAGGGATATATAAGTGGAGGGGGGCCAAGCTAAATCTTAATTAAGAGCACGAATATAGAGCATATAAGTACGTTTAACTCTAGAAAAAGATTGCTATAAGAGACAAGAAAATAAAATCAAAGTACTTAGATGATGATTATGGAATAATGCTTGGAGGAAAATGACCATAAAAATATACATATTACTACTTCTATAGATAACGATAACATTCTTAATTCAAAGGAAACTTTTTCAAGATCCGTCTTGGAAACGAAAGGAATACCCACTAAGCCTCCAATGATAAAAGTTACCAGAAAGGAATAAATAGATAATGCAGGAGAATCCTTTACCTTATCTCCATGGAGGAAAAGTCCATTTCCTTTTACCCCTAATTAAGGATAAAGTAATAATAGTTTCAGATATTTATCACAGCTTACTGCTGCATAATTTCCTAAGAATGATACTCTAAATTTTGAGGAACAGCCAGAGACTAATAAAGGCTAAAGTAATAGAATAGGACATTAGTAAAAACAATTATGAACAATAGACAAATATTTATATTTTAAAGTGTGTATTTAATTTTAATGCCTGAATCTATGGCTTATTCATAATCTTATTTTTGCTGGTAGGGGTTTTGGGGTTTTGGGG